GTTAGGAAAAGTGGGGAGGAGGAAGTGGAGCCCTAAGCTGCGAGTGGCAGCCGCCCGGCCTGGGTGTTGCGTAGGGGCTCCAGGATTACAGAGAGGCCTTCAGTTGCCTAAATCGTGCCCAGCTGCGGAGAGAAAGTGCTCAGGGAAACAGGAATCCCGGAGCATCTCACGATCCACGTGCAAAACCTCCTAATGGGTCAAGAAGTCACTCTGTGGGCGGAAGGGGGCCCAGGAGCAAGAGAGGGCAGTTCAGTCGCTCCCTTTTCATTCCATCTGTGTGCTGAATTTATTGGGGTGGGGGAGAGGTTCAGCCACTCAAGCCTTGGTCCCCTCATGGTTTGAACCCTGCAATGCGCTCCACGGGAGGGTTGTCCTGGAAGACCACCCGGGAGCTTCAAGTGGCCCCGAATGCCACAGAGTGGACAATGACTGCAAAGCAGGGGCCCCCAAGGCCTGGTCCACAGCCATCTGCTGGACCGCAGTCCATTCAGAACCAGGCTGTGGAGGTCCTGGGCAAGCGCCTGCACGCCTGCGCAGCTGCACTTGGGGAAGTGGCACGTGCAGCATGCGCAAAACATCCCTTCCCCTGCCTCCACTGGGCCAGAAAGGTTGGGGAAGCCCCTTGCAAAGGATGCGAAAGGAACACCGTGGGAAAATGGGACTCAGACTGAATCTACGGAGTGGCAACAGGAACAGCAGCCGGCCTGAAGCAGCGGAGAACGTCTCCTTTTTCGCGCAGGAAAGGAACCAGGCAATGCAGCTCCGGCGAGAGCTTGCCGTGCAGGGGCTTGAGGGGCCGAAGGGAGATTGGCTGTCAAGGCAAGAAAGCCTCATTCCAGGCCAAAACTGGGGTCGACCCCCCGCCTCCCTTTCCTTCTCCTTCCAGGCACAAAGGAGCAGGCTCAGATTCACCTCCTCTGGACCCTTGAGGTGAAGACTCGGCTCCTTGGAGAAGGCTTGGATGCTGGGAAAGGCCAGGCCAGACATACAGTATTGTGCAAAAGATTTAGAGGCCGTTGTGCAAAAGTGATGTAAATTAAGAATTATTTTAGAAATAGAAGGGATAATGGATTATTGTATCAGTTGACAAAATGGAAAGTAAATAGACAGAAGGGGACTCCAAATCAAGTCGGGATGGGGTGCGCCCGCGCTTGCACACCGATTCCGAAGACACTCAAGCTGGTTCCAAACATCCTCTGGGGATCTACACGAGGTCCTTCTGTCATCGGTTCTTACAAACTACGGCCACTTCTATTTCTGAAAGCATTTCTTGATTTATGGCATTTTTGCCCAACCGCCTGACGCTTTTGCACAACACTGTAAATCATTCAGATCCGGTTGATCCCGAGAGACTCCAAAGCCGGCTGGGTGACTTTGGCCAAACACTGCCAACCCAACCTACCTCACGGGGCAGTTTAGGGTGGGAAAAAGAGGAGGAGGAACACAGAGCATCCGAGTTGGGAGGGACCTTGTAGGAAGGAGTATTAATTTTATTCGCTGCTTTGAGATATTTATAAAAATAATAAAGGCAGGATTTTAAAAAATCTTTCAAAAAGATGAGTGGACTCAGTCACGGCAGAGACGGGACCAGGTTGAAGACAGCTTGTCCTCCTGGGGACAAAATCCGTCTCTGTGGCCGGTAATCGCGACTATCAACCTTTTCCTTAGAGATGGACAAAGAATTCTTGGTGGGGCAGCAGGAAACAGGCAAGAAGAGTCCAGTCCGTACCGCAAGGAAGGCAAAGTGCTGAGGGGGAAAGTAAAGGAAGCGCCTTTCTCCCCTGCTCCCTGGGAGGCAGCTGTCCCCTGGGCCAGGTTTCTCAGGTGAGAGAGAGAAAGCCTTCCTTCACGGGGGGGGGGGGGGGGGGGGGGCTCCGTACTGGGTGGGCACAGGATAGAAAGACAAGGGCCTAATCCAAGAACCACCCAGGAGAAACCCACAACCCACCAACCCTGCAGGGAAAGCCACAGTACAGAAGCGGGGAGCAAACCCCACATTCCTCAGACTGGTGGGAGATGATGCCTGCAAGGAAACCTCCTGGCTCAGAGATACGAAGGACCCCCCCGTCCAATCGCCAGCTGCCTAGATTCTCTCCCCTGTGGGAGCCCACATGGGCGTCCAACGCCCCAGAAGCCCCAACAGGGGAAGGGATCCTCCCGTAGGCCAAGCTCCCCCAAGGGATCCCCAGCCTTTCTGCCCAAAGGCCTACGGCAACCTGGCCTGCCCATCAGGGTCAGACACAAACCTGCCCTGAACTGCACAGCTGGATGGAAAATAGCTCAAGGAAGCGGCTGCAAAATGGTCCATGGCTAAGGACTGTGGATGCTCAGGCGAAACGAATCCCACACGCAGCACAGACAGCCCCAGGGAGCAGCTGGAACGAAGGGCGGCCTCAGAGCACACAAACATGCTGGCAAAGAACCATCAAGGCTGTCTCTAAGACAAGCCCATCAAAAGAAAAACAAACCTCCAAGCCAAACGGCTCAAAGGGCCCCAAGCACAGAGGCACCTGAACCCACGCGGAAGGTGTCCGGACTGCCAACCGAGAGGCTCGCTGACTGGAATTCCTTGCAGCCTCGGCAGCAGCCCAGAAAACCCGAGGTGGGGGGGGCGGGGGGCGGAAGCCACTCGAAGCAGCGGGCAGGGAGCCCCCAAGGGCCTGGGGAAGGAGCCAGCCACCTCCACCCTCCCAGCAAACCAAAGCAGGGCCAACAGGGGGAAGGGGACACAAGGCCTGCGAAAGGCCAAAGAATCCCTCCTCCCGGTGGAGGCCAACCCAGCAGAGAAAGTGAACGTGCTGGCCGAGAGAAGCCTCACCAAGGCAGGAAACGCCCTGGACTGTCTTCCCACGCTGGCCCAGGTTTTCATCCAAGGGTGTGGGGGGACCAGCGACACCAACACAGCCAGAGAACTGGCCACAGCCTTGGACCCCTCCTAGAGAAGAGCGGATATTCGGCCCATCCAGGACAGAAAAGGCCTAACAAGAGAAGCAGTTGATGTGCTGGGCCTCTTCCCCTCCGTAGGACCACAGGGCTACACGGCACGCCTGACCTAGTGGAATACCCTGAGATCGAAACACCCAGAAACACGGACCTGACCAGCCTCTGCCTCCTCGCTGCCCGCCTTTCAGACTGATGGGCCCGGGTGCCAACAAACACCCACCCTCAGCACCTACAAACCAGGACTCTCCCGGGCACAAAAACAGAAATGCACAGGTGTGCACTGCGGCTATGTAGGTCAGGGCACAGACAGCACCTTTGTCCTAATGGAAAAGAACCACCCAAGGAGGAGAGACATGGAGCAATCCAGAGCCTCTTCAAAGGAAGAATATTCACAAGGGAGGAAGGAAACAACAACACACAACCCTTCCTGATAGCCTCGTCAGCAGTGGGAACACATTAAGACCTGGAGAGCCACCCACGCTAACCAGGCGCTCTGTCGCCAAAGCAATTAACTCAACTGCCCACGAACTGCTATTCTGATGAACACAAACGCACTGCAGTAGCAACCCACAACACCCAAAAAGAAAGATGAGCTTTATTTGATTATACACATTAGTACTGCAGCAAGGATAACATTTGCCCAGAACTGGAAAGAGAGAGTTATACCAAGTGAAGAAGTAATGCACAAAATCTTACTATGCGCTGAAATGGACAAGTTAACTCTAGAAATGAAAAACGAAGATGAATCGGCCTCCTATGCAATTTGGGATAAATTCTATCATTGGTGGGAGCAGAGAGGAAGGTCTTAAGTTGGGAAAGGAGTGGTTGAAGGGGTAAATGATTGGGATGAGATGAAAAGATGATGAATGAAGTCAGAAATGTATTATATGAACAAACAAATGTATATATGTATATAGTTGAATCACTGTTTATATGAATATAATCACTGTTTATATGAATATACACACACACACACATACACGATATTGACCCAAAATCACATCAAAACGACCTCACCATATTCCATGTTTTTAATTGTTTTAATAAAATTTATATAAAAACAGACTGCCTGCACAACACGGTGCAAGCAAAGAGAAACTTTTATCAGAAGGCGCCCTGCCACACAACTTGCCACACACAGCACAACCCACACAAGCTACGCAAAGGGACCCCCCCCCCCCCGGCTAGCAGGGAGCATCCACGGACGCCACGAGACCCGAGAGGGGGAGAGGGAGAGGGAGAGGGAGAGGCGCCTTCACCTCCCAAGGCCTGGCAGACGCTCCGCTGGGGCGCTGCGGGCATCCTGGGCCAAGGCCAGGCCACAACCGGCGGGGGCTCCCCGGAAGCGGCCCAGTCGCCTCCATCGATCGGCCCTTCCAGGACCGTCACCCGGAGACGGAGCGCGGGGCCTCTCGAAGGAGGAAGTGAAAAAAAGCCTCGGGGAGAAGCAAGGCCAGCAGCAGCCATTGTTGTACCAGGCCAGCAGCAGCCCGAGCGAGGGGCTTCCAAGGAGGAGACGCGCGCGCGCACACGCACACCCCCCCACCCCCACCCCCACCCCCTTTCGGGCCAAGCCACTGCAGGCGATAAGCAGGGCGCCTCCCCCCCTGAGCAGCCGGCTCGGCTAGCCCGCTAACGAGGCCGCTGCAAGGGAGCGACGAGCTCCGGGAGCGGCCGGGGCCCGGAGCGGGGACCCTCTCCGAGGCTGGGCCCCGTGCAGGAGTCCCGTCGACGGAGACCGGGGCTGCCGGGCAGAGGGAGGGCCGCGGGGACCGGGGTGGGGGACTGGGCCTCCCTGCCCGGGGGGGGGGGGGCTGCCGGCCTCCTTCCCTCGCAAGGCCCGGGCAGCGCTGGGCCAGGAGAGGAGGGGCCGGGCCGGGCGGCCTCGCGCGGCTTTCCCCCCTCGGGGTCTGCGCTGCGGCGGGGGAGGAGCGGGAGGCCCCCGGGGCGGCCAGGAGGAGGGGGAGGCCATCTTGCGGGGCGGGGGCTGACGGCGCTCCGCCCGGTTCCGGCCTCGCTCCGCCCGCCGAGGCGCCTTCCTGGCCCGGGCGGGCAGCCGGGCGGCCGGCAGTGCCGAGGCGAGGCCGGGCGGAGCGCGTCCTATTCTGCGTGCTGAGCAACGGCCGGGCGATGCGGGCGGCGGCGGGGTGCCTGGTGCTGGCCGGGGCGCTGGCGCTGGCGGCGGCGGGGCTAGCCGGGGCCCGGGAGAGCCGGCCGGCCTTGGAGCGGCTGCTGCCCGCGGTCGGAGCGCGCTTCGGCTGGACGAACTTCAGCTGCCCCGCCTGCAGGCTCCTCTTCAGCGCGCTGGACGCCGGCATGCAGGTGGGCGGCCCGGGCCCGACACCCTTCCGGCCCCCGGGAGGCCGGCGCCGCGCTTCCGCTCGGCACAGCGGGCCGGCGGCTTGTGCCCTTCCCGCCGCTTGCGGCCGGGCGGCTTCCTAGCGGCAGCCGGAGCGGCTCTCCTGCCCGCGGGGCCCCCGGGATGGGTTGGAGAAGGTCCCGGGGGCGTTTGCGGAAGTTCTCCGGAAGGAGGGCAGCTCCTTGCCGAGGAAGATTGGCCGAGCCCGCTGGGTGCCCTTGCCCGCCCCCCCTTCGGGAGCTTAGAGCCGCCTTCCCTGGAGCCCCGGGACCCCCAGAGGGCGAGGGAGCCCTCCGAGAGGCTGGGGAGATACCTCCCCCGCCCCGCCCCGGAGTTATAAGTGTCCGGATCCTGAAGAAAAGCCTGCGGCCCTTGGACCGACCCCCCCCCCCCCCCCCCCCCCCCCCCGGAGGCCCAGAGAGGGGTGGCCGGCCCCCGCGCCCCCTTTCCCCCCCCCCCCCGCCCCCCAATCTTTTGGAAGGGGTCAGGAGACAAACGACGAGGCCTTTCCGTCCTAAGGAGAGTCCCTCGCGCACACACACACACACACACACACACACACACACACACACACACCTGTGCCAAGGGAGCCCTTCATGGGCCTGGATCTCCCCCTGTGGGGTCTTATAGCCCCCCCCACCCCAACTTTCCTCCTCTTCCCTGCAGTCAGCGAGACAGCTGCGGGGGAGGGGGGGGACTGCCCTTGGGGCCGCACCCCTCGTTTTGTTGACGGCCTAATTCCCAGCCTCCAGCAGGTCACGAGCTCTGCTCTGCGGAAGACAGCCGGAGGCGGGCAAGGGGGGCCGAGCCAGGAGGCTCCTGGGTCTACACAGCTCAGAGGTTTCCTCATCAGCCATCCGTCTGTCTGTCTGTCTGTCTGTCTGTCTGTGTGTGTGTGTGTGTGTGTGTGTGTGTGTGTGTGTGTGTGTGTGTGTGAGAGAGAGAGAGAGAGAGAGAGAGAGAGAGAGCCCAGAGACAGGGCTCGGTAGGAAAGAGCAGGAGGGCCGAACGGGGCCCTGGCAGGCCTTGCCTCAAGGGGGGGGGGCGCTCCCCTTCGCCCTTTGCATCCCAGAAGCCGAACGCTCTGGCTTTGGGGGTCTAGTGGGACCCTTGGCAGAGGCTCTGCTCGGGGAGGGCTCCTTTGGTGGGAAGGGGAGAGAGAAATCCAAGGGAGGTCTAAGAGTTCAAGACTCAGGTGGCCTGGGGCCACTTAGTCCTGAAAACTGGCTGGGTGATTTTGGGTCGGTTTCAGTCTCTTGGCTCAACCCACCTCACAGGGTTGTTGCTATGGGGGAAATAGGAGCGGGAAGGTATGCGGAGATGTTCGCCACTTAAGTTATTTGAAAAAATAATACGGGTGGGATGCAAATAAATAAATAATTGCCAACCCTGATGTTTTCACAGCCCCACATGGGGAGGGAGCAGAGAGGGGGGGCGCGTACGGCCTGCTGAGAGGGCCCACGGGGGAGCCCTGGGCAGCCCAGAGGCTCCGGCTGAGGCCTCGTGGAGGGCCCCTCACTCCTGGCCTCAAAGGCGGGGCAGGGCACGTGGCCGGGTGCAAGGTAGAGCCAGCTGGCCTGTCGGAGGCCTTTCTTCCCACGCAAGGGGGCTGCTCCTGCACTCCTCGGTGGCTGCCGTGGACAGGGGGGTCTCCCCACACCAGAGCCTATCGCCCTGCCCCAAGGGACTCGGTGCCCCTGGACCCCGGCAGGGAGGTAGGGGACGAGGGGGGGCCTGGCTAAGGCCTCCGGCGGGGAGATTCTTCCAGCCCCCTTTTCCGCCTGGACATTCCAGGGCTGCTCCCGATGCTCATGCCAGCCCTCTGCTTTGCAGCTGGAGACCAGCGTGGAGCACCTGCAGCAGCTGGCGGCCAAGGTCTGCGTGACCCTGAAGCTGGCGCCCCCCGACGTGTGCCAGGAGGCCACCCGCCTCTTTGGGCAAGACATGGTCACCGCCTGGGTCCACTCCGTCCTGCGCCCGGCTGAGATCTGCGGCCTGCTGGTGGGCGCCCGCTGCGGCCACTGGGACATCTACTCCAGCTGGAACGTCACCCTGCCTGAAACCCCCAAGCCCCCCGTGAGGCCTCCGGTGCCCCCCCCACCCGGCGCCCCCACGGCCCGCCTGCTCTTCCTGACGGACCTGCACTGGGACTGGCAGTACACCCCGGGCAGCGACCCCGACTGCAGGGACCCCCTCTGCTGCCGGGGGGGCCAGCCGCAGGGCCCCGGGGCCGGCTACTGGGGCTCCTACAGCAAATGCGACCTGCCCCTCCACACTCTGGAGAACCTGCTGCAGCACTTGGCGTCTGCCGGGCCCTTCCAGGCTGCCTACTGGGCGGGCGACATCCCAGCTCACAACATCTGGCAGCAGACCCGCCAGGACCAGCTGCACGCCCTCTCCACCATCACCAGCCTCATCCGGAAGTACCTGGGGCCGCTGCCCGTCTACCCGGCGGTGGGCAACCACGAGTCTGTGCCCGTCAATGCCTTCCCCCCGCCCTACGTGCCTGGGAACCAGTCCTCCGCCTGGCTGTACGATGCCATGGCCGACGCCTGGCAGCAGTGGCTGCCCCCCGAAGCCCTGCAGACCCTGAGGTAGGAGGGAGGGAGGGAGGGAGGGATGGGGGGCTCCCTGAGGGATGCCCCCCCCCTGCAGCCTTGGCCTGCTTTGGCCTCTGAAGCCCTGCAGACAGTCCTGGCTGGGCTCTCCCCTGCTTTTCCGGGGGACCAGATCAGAGGTGGGATTCAGCCAGTTCGGACCCTGGAGAACCAGTAGCTGATTGGCTGGGTCTCCTTTGGTTGCCCTGCAGAGGAGAATGGAGCTGGAAAGCAGGTTAGTGGGGTGTGGAGGGAAGGGAAGGGGGATTTTGCAGTATATCCTTCCCTGCCATGCCCACCAAGCTACGCTATGGCCACCAAAGAGATGGTAAAATAATTGGAATCCCAGCCCTGGACCAGGTCCTCCCTCCCCATTCTCCAGGTGGCCTTGGCAGGGACCTGCCCTGGGTGTCCCCAACACCCAGTAACAATAACCATCAATAAAATTCACTGCCCCCGACCCCCCCCCCCGCCCCCAGTGCCCCCCCCGCCCCCCCGGGCAGCTCTGATGCTGATTTCTCTTCCTTCTGTCCTGCCCCCCGGCTGCCCCTAAGCAGAGCCGGCAGGGAGGACGGCCGCCAGCTGGTGGAGCCAAACGGCAGGATTCTGGGTGTTGGAATGGGAAGCCCCTCCCCCACCACAAAAAGGCCGCTTGGCTGAGCTGGGTGGCCCCGGAAGCCATAATAGGACTGGGTTGGTTTTCCCGGCCGGAAGGTTTTGCCGCCGCCGCATTCCTGGCGACTGGGCGGGTGCAGCCTGCTCTCCTGGTTCTTCCTGGGCCAGATGTTCTTGGCAGTTGCCTTCCTGTGTGCCCAGCAAAACCCCTGGGGGCCTCACCAGCCGTGGGAACTGGGGCTGCCAGGTGGAGCCTCACAGCTGTGGCTCCGACACAAGGCTGCCCGGCCTCGGCCCCTTGAAGACCCAGCGGGGGGTTGAAGCCTTAAAAGTGGCCCCACCGGCTTTAGAGCCCCCTGGGAGGCCGTGATTGGAATCCAGGGGCGGTTGTGTGGGGCGGTTGTGTGTGCAATGCTTCCCTCCCCTCCCCCCTGGCCTGGCAGTGCTGCCCACGACCGGCTCCTCCTGATAGCCCCCCCTCTCCCTGTCCTCTCCCGAAACTGCCCAAGGCAGCGAGGGCCCCGGCTGCCCATTTCCCCCGCGGGGGGCCTGGCCTCTTGTGGGGCCATTCTGGTGGCGTCACTCCAGGCGTTCCTGCCCAGCCGCCTTGGGAAGCCGTGCCCACCGGTGCCCCCCCTGTCCCCCCGAGCTGGGATGTCTCCTTGCAGGCTTTTCATGACCCCACCAGGCAAGCTCCTCGGGGGAGGGGGCTCGGCTTGGGGAGGGGGCTAGGAGGAGCCCCAAAGAGCCCCTCAATTCTGCCAGGGGTTCACGGGAGAGGGAAGCCGCTCCTGCCCCCCCAGGGTGGAAGTGGCTGGTGGGAGGGGAGCCCAGCCTCCTCCCCGGCTTGCTTAACAAGGATTTCGGCGTGGGCGGGTGGTGAAGCCCCATGGCACCAGTCGGGCTGCCTTTGCCCCGGGCACAGACAGGGCGGGGCGACTGTGGCACCTTTACGAACTGGGGGTGCCACTCCCAGAGTCCCAGAGTGCTTTGCTCTGCTGGCTCAGGGATTCTGGGGGCTGGAGACGTCCCCCGTCATAAAGGGCTGCCCAGGAGGCCCCGTCGCTGGGGGTCTGGCGGATGGCGAGGGGACGGAGGAGACCCCCCACCCCAAGGGAGCTCCCCCAGGGGAGGGAAGGGGAGGGGGGGCCCGAGGGTCTCCTCCCTGAGACTCCCCTGCCTTTCCCCCCCGGCAGGCTGGGGGGCTTCTACACCCTCCCCCTCTGGCGGGGCCTCCGCCTGGTTTCCCTCAACATGAACTTCTGCTCCGAGGGCAACTTCTGGCTCCTGATCAACGCCACCGACCCGGCCGGGCAGCTCCAGTGGCTGGTGGGCGTCCTGCAGAGGGCGGAGGAGAGCGGAGAGAAGGTCAGCTGGGGCGGGCAGGAACGGGGGGGGGGGGGGGGGGGCCCGCCCCCCGGCCCGCCGGGGGGGGGGGGGGGGGGGGCGGGGGGAGAGTCGGGCGGGGGGGGCGGGGGGGGGGGGGGGGGGGGGCGGGCCGGCTCATTGCCAGAGCACGGGGGGGGGGGCTCCTCGGAAGCGGGGCCAGCGGGGAAGCTCGGGCAAGGGGGCCCTGGCGGCTGCCCCCACTGACCCCCCGCCTCCTCTGCAGGTCCACATCATCGGCCACATCCCGCCCTCCCACTGCCTGCGGAGCTGGGGCTGGAATTACTACCGCATCATCAACAGGTACGAGGCGCCTGGCACCTGGGCAAGTGCTGGTACCAGGGTTGGCGCACAGGCTCCCGCAGGGCGGTGCCCCTGCCCGCCCCAGCCTGGGCGTGGGTCTTCCCTCCAAGGATGGCCCCCCCACCCTGGGGAGGCTCTGTGGGGGGGGCGGGGGAACCGAAGGCCTGCCTGGCTCCCCACCCCCACTCCCAGTATCACTGACTCTGCTGCAGGCTCAGCCGTGGGGCCCAGTTGCTGCTGCCCTGGGTTGGTGGCCGAGCAGCCATCGCATCCCCCAGGTGGTTTCCGGGGTGACTCCTGAAGGGGGGCAGCAGTCGGGGGTGAGGGGCCTTCCCTTCCCAAAGCCAAGGAGGAAATGTTTTCCCACCACCCAGGTCGCAGGTCAGGTAAAGGCCGAGCCGCTCCCTTGCCCAAGGAAGGGCTCCTGAGGGCCAGCCGTGGTCGGAGGTCTCTCGGCTCCAGGCCTTCTGCAGACCCTCTTCCGGGGGGGGGGCGGGGGGGGGG